GAAAATATTACGCAGTACAATAACAAAAAGCCTAATGCTACATAATGGCGCGTGAATATTTTCCCCACCCGGACCCTGCTACCAAAGAAGATAAAAAAAAGAAACTGAGAGGAAATTTTGAATAATGGTGCCTCTTTGTGTAATATCGCAAAGAAAATCTCTCACTTTTTTACCATACCAGAATTGTCAAAATTGTCAGAATTTTTTTTTTTTTTTTAAATTTAGGTAACAATAGATCTTATCCAGCCAAGGTGTAGTTATGCCCCTAAGCGAGAAGTATGGTCACAACCTTATTACCACCCCTTTAGTTAAAAATTCCTAAATGCTCATGATGGACTTCAGAATTCCTTATAAAACTACCTCAAAGAAAAAATACATAAAAAAAATTATAGCTACATATATCTTTTTTTTTTTTTTTTTTTTTTTTTAATATTTGCTGTATTTTTAAATTAAATACAAAAATTTTAAATTTTTTTACAATATGTTAAAATGGATAATAAAAAAAATTACAATATACTTGAGTACATATAAGTATATACAATATCTTACAATGTTTTATTCACGAAACTTATTCATTTCATAAAAAAATTGACTGATATTTAATAAACAATAAAAAAAATAAAAAAATAAATTTTTAACTATTAAAGTGAATTATTCCACCTTTATGTATATAACTACAATTTATTGCATATTAATATATATATTTTTTTTTCTATCATTTTTTTTAACTAACTAATGCCTATGCAATGAGCATAAAAAATTCATAAAATTCAACAAAATAAATTTTGCATTCAAACGTAATATAAACAAAAAAATGAAAAGCAAAAAAAAATAAACAAAATCAGCAACAATTAGATAACCCATGTACTTACTCCAGCTGCTTTGATGACGTCACCTTAGCTGCCGATGCACCTAGCTAAATTTTATTATTTGATATTTTTTTTTTCTTTTAAGGTAAAATTTGTATTGTGTTTTAAACACCGAAATATATTATATGTGTAAAAAATGTGATGTTTATATATATATATATAACTCGGATAATAATAAAAACTTTAAAAAAAATATATGTATAAAAAATATAATTATATTTATGCATAAAAAAATCCTAATATTTTTTTTTCCTTTTTTTTTCTTTATCAAGTGCTAATGATCCAATTAAACAAAGCATCAGTGCTTAGGCATCATGTTATATATTCAATAACCAAAAAAACAAAATTAGATTATGGAATATTTTAACTTTAGCATATATTAGCAATATATTTTACTTTACTTGTTTTTTTTTTTCTTTCAAAAAAATATATTTAAATTCATTTAATTTTTCTTTTTTTTTCTCTTCGAACAAATACAAAAAAATTATTATTAAAATCGAGTAACTAAAAAAATTTAAAATAACAGGATATATGTTTTTTTCTTTCACTCCATTTTAGTCAGCACAGCGGGTACCCGTTACAGTAGGGATGCGTTATTTACATACAGCTACAAATACCTGTGTATTCCGGATTACCGTATAGTTTCTGTTCTCCTGCTTATCCTTAAAACCTCCAACTTTCCCCTTAGCTGATTTCTTCTTGGTAACTCGTACTGGCTTTGATTTCTTTGGTTTATATCTGTGGCTGCACTTCGTATATATTC